GCTAGACTTAGAACACTCTTTTCAGGCAAACCCCTCAGTTGAGGCTGCTTCACTAGTGAAACTACAGGCTCGCCTGAGAAAAAAGAAAACCTAATTTTCAGTAGACAGAGAATATTTGAACATAGGGAACGAGCTGGTCGCTTGTTGGCTTACCTGGCACATCTGGATCTCAGGCCCCCTACTGTAATTTCCCTGCTCGATGCCTCTGGTGCCATCACTGACCCAGACCTAGTGGCAGGGGAGTAACGTCTTTTCCACACTTTATTCATCCACAGGTACTAGCTCTCACACTGAGCTTATCACTTTTTTACAAACAATACCTTTTCCTACCCTTACCCTATCTCAAACTGCTAATTTGGAAGCCCCCATCTCTATTGAAGATATTACTGAAGCCATAGCTCACTTATCCCCCTCTAAAGCATCGGGTTCTGATGGACTCCCATTGAAGTTTTACACTTCTTTTCAGGAATCTCTTATCCCTCGCCTACACAAATTGTACCAACATATCTACAAATCCGCCTCTCTTCCTCAATCCATGGGAGAAGCATTAATAGTCCTCATACCTAAACCAGGTAAGGATCCCCTATTCCCCGAGTCATACTGACCCATCTCCCTCTTACAACTTGATATTAAGATCTTGGCTAAGGCCCTGGCCCTGCGTTTAACAAAATAATTTACATTTAATCCACCTAGATCAGGTCGGATTCATGCCAGCTAAAAACACGGAGTTCAATCTACCGAGGCTCTTCATGAACCTGCAGGCTTCCCATGACCATATGGGTTCCAGAGTTGTCAGTTCACTTGATGCTGCTAAAGCTTTCGACTCGGTACAATGGGGTATTGATGGGAATGTTTAAGTAGATTTGGATTTGGGCCCAAATTTCTTAAATGGCTTTGATTACTCAATCATGCTCCTACAGCTAGGGTCCTGGTTGGTGGCTGGGTGTCTGATTCCTTTCCCCTTTCTAGAGGCATGCGTCATGGATGTCTTTCCCCCTTCTTATGCACTGACAGAGGAACCCGTAGCCATAGATCTCCGTACACACCCCGAAATTCGAGGTATGTGCTCTGGTCAGTTAACGGAAATGGAGGCTGCGGGCCCCTCTTAGGCTGCTCTTTTTTAGATTATTTTCGACATTTTTTTCCGGCCTCAGAATAAACTGGGGAAAGTCCCAGATTCTCCCTCTGGACATTGGTGTTCCTACTGAGGAGCAGGCCACTCTCCATTTTAGTTAGAATCAGCACTATTACATATCTTGGGGTTGTGGTTTCTCGCGTAGCCGAGGATTATCTTTGGCTTAACCTGGAGCCTCTGTACCCTAGGCTGAAATCCAAATTACAGGCTTGGGCTCGTCTTCCTTTAGGGGTTATGGGGCGTATTAATTTGATCAAGATGGTGCTTCTGCCTAAACTTCTTTTATATACTTTGGCAGGCACCGGTATATTTACTGTTGCGCATTTTAAAATCTCTTGATTCCATGTATAACTCCTTTGTATGGGGCAATATGAGACATAAACTGTCGTGGCGTGCTCTTACAAATCCCACGCATTTGGGGGGGGCAGTGCTCCCAGATTTTTAGCCTCTATTATTTAGCAGCCCAATTGTCTCATTTTTTCCACTTAGACAAAGGGGATAAAGACCGATATCTTGCCTTGGTGTGTGCTCCAGCCTTCTCTTGGGCTACCCACCCCTTTCAACTTTTTATTAAAGGGCATGCAGGGCCCCTCAATTATGGGTGGCCACAGGGGATTGTTTTACCACCACTGGAAGATCTAGTTCTTGGCCTCCAGTAAGTTGCAGGTTTCTTGCATAAACGCCCACACCCCCTTATGGGACAACCCGAACCTCCGTGAATTGCTTACTCTCCTCGATTTTCATTTATGGATCAACAAGGGGATTTTGTATGTTTCCCAGGTGTTAACTAGTGCTGGTATTAAATCCTTTTAGGACCTTAAATCGGAATTCGACCTCCCTAACTTTATGCTCTTCTGCTATCTCCATCTTCACCACGTGCTGCATGCCCCATTTGGTGACTACATCACGCAGCTGGACTCTACATACCCTATGGATGTGATTCTTGGTACGGACTCCCAAAAAACTTCCGCATTCTACCCCCTGCTTCGACATTGGCATATCAACTTAAAACCCAATCCCGAAATTGTCGGACTGCCTCACCTAGAGATACACACCACCACACACACACACACCCTATCTAATGCCTGTTCGGTTCTCTAAAAACAGTCCACTCTGTACTAAATGTGGGGCTTCCGACGGTACCTTTTCATCTCCTATGGTCTGGTGCCCTCATTCAGAGCTGTTGGATTCAGGTGGTCCGGTTTCTCCATGACAAAAAAGGCTCCCCTCTTACTCTATGCCCTAAGCCATGTTTACTTCTTAGTTCAGAAACCAACGAACTTCAAACTATTTTCTTTCAGGAAGCTCTTTTTATGGCCAGATTATTGCTTGCCCGTACTTGGCTTCGAGCACTGCCACCTACATTTCCGCAGTGGGTCGCTGCAATAAACAGTACATTACCATACAAGAAGGCCATTTTATATGCATAGAGGATGCCCTGCTAAATGTCATAAAATTTGGGAGAAGTGGCTTGACTCCATGTTCACTTGTGGTGAGGAGGATGTGTGATTTGTGGTGTGTTTATTTTTGCCCTTTCCTTGTTCTGTTTATTTATCCCTGTGGTAGAGGCACCATGTTAGTGGAACTCTGTTAGTTTTATTTTCCTTGCCCACGGCAAGTGTTTTTTAGTTTGTGTACTTATAATTCTCTTTGCCAATATTTTGTCTCTGTATCTATTGGATGTATGATGTGACTACATGTATTCTTCTCTGAATAAAGAGTTTGCTTGTTAAAAATAAATGATACCTCGTGCAGTTTTAATATTTAGATCACGAACATCTGGATGCAGCACAAACAATGCCAGCTTGAAACACCTGCCCTAGTGCAAGCACAATTTTGTAAAGTTTACCTTTTTAAAATGGGGGGGGGAAAACAACTTTTTTTTTTTTCCAAACTAAGGCAGTAAACCAATTGCTGCAGTCATAGCACGAGAACCACTTTGGCTCCTGTGTGGTAGATAACTAAGGCTTTTAGGTGCTAATTCAATCTCTCAGTGCAAAGGGTGTGTCTAGAGTATCATTTTTTAATTTTTGTCTAACGGTTTATGTATAAATACTCTCTTACACTTATGTTTTTTTTTTTTGTAATAGGTGTGAGCAATATAGCATTCAGGCACCTGATAGAGTTTACATACACTGCTAAATTGATGTTACAAGGTGAAGAGGAGGCCAGCGACATCTACAAAGCAGCCGAATATTTACAGATGCATGAGGCCATCAAAGCACTTGAGATCAGGTATTGCAGGGAGTGTGTGTGTGGTCTACATTATTCATTCTAAGCCTTTAAATACAGCCTGTCACTACCATTGCATTATTATGCTGTTATATAAAGCTACAACTCACAGTAGAATAGATGCAGTTCCTTTTTCTTTTTTTTTTTTTTTTTTTTCCCCTTTCCTTTCTTTCCTCTTCTCATTCAACCTTTCCTGCAAGGTCTGCATTCTATCCTGATGCCTCCACTCCCCCTCTTTGGTCATGACATCACTCATATTGCTGGCAGAGGCTATGGAAGCCTTGCATGACCTGTACATATTCCTCTTACTTCCCAACAGAGACTATACCGTCTTCAGACAGTAAACCCCTGCAATAGAAGGCACCGTATATTCAAATCTAGAAAAAAGTGGCTTGTTTCTCCTACCTCTCCTGAATTCGTGCTACAGCCTCATAAAATTAGTTTGATACTCGAGGAGCATGCCATGCATGTTTCCCTGCCTAATGCTGGTTCTTTTCTTCAACCTCCACGTCGCAGGACACAGCAGTGGTAAAAGGGAGGAACCACAGTACACAGGTGGGGACACAAGCATCTAAAACACCTGGAGATGTCAAGTGATAAGAGGCTTTCTGAGGCTGCAGAGGTAGAAGAAACCAGCTGCCAAAGAGATGAGTGTACACTGACTTCTTCTGCAGGTTGTAAATCTTTAGACACCTGACAAGCTCTCGTTAATCCCTGTTAGGTAAGGCAGTGAAATCAGTCTGCTGGCTGAAAAAACTCATTTTATTTATTTATTACAGGCACTTATATAGCGCCGTCAATTTACGTAGGGATTTACATATATATTTTGCTTTCACATCAGTCCCCAACCCTCAAGGTTATCTAAAGTCCGTAACTTGCATTCATACATACACATACTAGGGCCAATTTAGACAGTATCGAATTAACCTACCAGCATGTCTTTGGAGTGTGGGAGGAAACCGGAGTACCCCGAGGAAACCCACGCAGGAACAGGGAGAACATGCAAACTCCAGGCAGATGGTGCCGTGGTGGGGATTGAGCCAACAACCCTAGTACTGCCAGGTGGAAGTGCTAACCATCTAGCCACTGTCTTCTTTTTCTTTTATTTCTTTACCATGCAAATTACTCTCTGCTAAGGTCTCTGATACCCATAGACAATTTTATTTTCACTTCCTTCTGCCAACTTTGATAGGTCTGTGCATTTCTGGTGAAGAGTACCAAAATAAAAAAGATCCCTATGTGCTCACAGGTGCAGTCATTTATCCTGTTCTACCTTCAGTGATTTTTATACATGTTTTCTAGGAACAAAGAGACTATTTTAATTGAAGGGAAACTTGATGAAGATGAAAGCATTAAAAAATGGAATGTGGAGGATACCTCTGGCGTCCTTTCAGAGACCTTACCGTCCTCAGAAGGTGAACCAGTGGAGATTGAAGTTGAATTAGCCGAAGGAACAATTGAGTTAGAAGATAATATTGAGGCTTTGGAAGCAGTGACCTCGTCTGACCAATCTGTCAAATATATCCAGAGTACCGGCACATCGGATGACTCGGCTTTGGCCCTCTTGGCAGACATTACAAGCAAGTACCGCCAGGGGGAAAGAAAAAGGCAGCTTCAAGAAGACTGTGCCAATGAAAATGATGCTGCTGGCAAACAGGTAGAAGGCATTGAAATTATGGAAGTTCATCTGTCAAATGTCAACAACATGTTCCATTGTCAGAAATGTAATCGTTCATTTAAATTGTTTTACCATTTCAAGGAACACATGAAAAACACACACGGCTGACAATTATAAGTGTGAAATATGCAATAAAAGCTATGTACGGGAGGTTGCCTGGAAGCAGCATCTAACCTGCTATCATCTGGACGAAAGTGGGGCCGCCAAGAGGCCAAAGCCTGGGAAAAAAATCCATGTTTGCCAGTACTGTGATAAACAGTTTGATCATTTTGGCCATTTTAAGGAGCATCTGCGGAAACATACAGGTAACATCCATTGTCTTCATGGTGTTGTCCAGTAGAAGGCTTTTTTCAGCAACTGTAAGTCAAGCTGCGGAGCACCCTGCTAACTGCTTACAGCAACTTTTTTTGCAAAAGTAAAATAGTAAAGGACTCCATGGAAAGAAGACATTCAATACTCCCCTTTCATGCTGCTGATCTCTGCAGTAGTGAAAAGAAAACACAGGCTGAAGTTCCTGCAGAATCCAATGCTTTTGAGTATGTTTGTAGCGTGGTCCCCTGACCTGTCCAGCACTACTGTCCACTCTGGGGGTGCCAGTGGGATTAGACAAAATGCACAATGGGGACCAGCAAATTGACATTATGGATTCTATAGGATCTTCAGCCCTTATTCTAGCAACTGAGGTGCTTTGTTGTGTCTGCAGATAATGGGATTGCAAGGGTTTCCAGTCACCTGTACTGACCTGCTGGGTTTATTTGGTGATCTTTGATGACTGTTGTTCCGGGTGTGCCTTAACCACTTGCCCTTCAGAAGTTTTACCCCCTCTTCCTGACCAGGCCATTTTTGTTGCAATATGACGCTGCATTACTTTAACTGACAATTGCGCAGTCATGCAATGCTGCACCCAAATGAAATTTTATGTCCTTTTTTTTCCCACACATAGAACTTACTTTCGGTGGTAGTTGATCGCCTGTGCATGTTTAAATTTTTTTTTTTTTGCACCATAAACAAAAATAGACCGACAATTTTGAGAAAAAAAACATGTTTTTTTTACTTTTTGCTATAAAACATTCAGTAAAAACATTTAAAAATCAACTTTTGTCATAAATTTAGGCCAAAATGCATTCTGCTACATGTCTTTGCTAAAAAAAAAAAAAATCCCAATACGTGTAAATTTGGTTTACTTGAAAATTAGTGTATACAAATGGCGTTATATATACTGGAATTTTTATATTTTTTTATGCTAGTAATGGTGGCGATCAACTTTTAGCGGGACTGCGGCAGGCATTCTGACACTGGAGGAGAACTAACCGCCACTGTCAATAATACAGTGGTCAGTGCTAATAAAAAGCATTGACACTGTGCTAATGACACTGGGCTGGAAGAGGTTAACATCTGGGGCGATCAAAGGGTTAACTGTGTGCTGTTTTACTAACTGTGCTGTGTGTTTTCTACTGTGTAAACATGCTGCTTTGTATTGCTCTGCTATGCAGAGCAATACAAAGCAGCATGCTGGTGCTGACCGGGGAGAGATTGTTTACTTACAGACCCCTCCCGTCAGTGTTCCTTGGTGATCACTGGGTGCCAGCCGGGGATCTCCAGCCGGGACCCGGTGATCGACAGCTGTCGCAGGTGGCACAGGTAGGGCGGTGCACGCATGGCTCCTACCTGAAAATGCTAAAAATTATATTTTTATATATATGTATGTATGTGATTTTGCGCAGCTCTGCCGCCCTGTAGCAGTAGTTCTGCTGTAGGGAAGTGGTTAATTTTTGCACGAGGCTAATTCAATTAAAACTTTTTGATTTGGATAGTTCTTACTTTTGGAATAAAAATTTTTTCGCTGCCTCTGCTTTTATATTATGAAGATTTCTCCCTACTTTCCTGTCGTGGTAATGGTCAGATTGAACAGCAAATTACTTAAAATTTCCCCTCCAAAGACACCAACAGCAATAAAAGTAAACCTTGGCTGGCCATACATTTTGTACAATTTTCCTTTAGATTTACCAAAGCCATATAATATGAGGTCAAACCTAAACACTTTCAACTTGTCTGCAATCAGGCAGTCTCTTGTACTACATAATTAAAGGTAAATCTAAAGGAAATTGGATGAGAAAATTGTATAATGTGTGGCCAGCTTTACTTTCTTTGCTGTCTGAGGTTCTGACCCTTCACCACTCAACTAACAACAATGTTAGCAATATAATAAGAGTAAGTAAAAGGCATTGTAATCTGATATGACTGTCACATTTATTGTGTCCCACAGACCCCAGAATAGCATAAACTGTGTGTAACTGAAGGTTGCTTCAAGGCAGCAGTGCTAATCGATGCGACACAGCCAGTGCAATTCACCAGTATTGATTATAGCTTTCAAGGTTATACCTAAATTCCATCTCCACTTTTCAGTCAAATCTAAGAAACGCCCTGCTAGAATGTGTTTTTGTGTCGTCCCCCCCCCCCCCCCCCCCCCCCCCAAGTGGCGTACCTAAAAATTTATTTTTTTTAAATATTCCTTGCCTTTCTTGGTGTTTCTCGGAGCAGATGCATGCATAAGGCTGCATACTATTCTGAAAAATGTCAAAGTGCAATAAGAGGGACAAATTTAGGGAAAGTTCATTGCCATACAATGCACAACCCCTGTCAATGTTTTTTGCCATCTGTGTCCCAATGCAGAGATTTCCCTTTACTTCCTGTCCCTTTACCAAACAGGAAGTGAGGGGAAATCCCTGCAAATTAAGGGAATCCCTTGGGGACCTCCAGGTCACCAGATCTGTTGTCCCTATTTGAAGATTTCCCCTCTATTACTTTTCTGGAACAACCCAATATTTGGGGTTTTCTGTTACTTTCACTTTCAATGATAATGGTAAACAGGACAAATGGAGAGGGTGAATCTCCCTAATGGGGGCACAGACAGCAGTAAAAACTGACGGGTTCTAAACCCTCTCCACTCCATCCAAAATTAAAAAAGAAAGTTTTCCCTTTTACCTTAAAGAGAAGCATATAATGATAGTATACGGTATATGAATTCTTTGTAGTTTTGTCCGCTTCCTGACAAAGTTGTTTAACAAAATCGTGACAGGGTTTAGGACAAACTGTGAGATTTACTGCAAGGGATTCTAAGGCATGTCATAGATGTTAAGATTTACTGTCCTGCAACAGGTTGTAGAGAAGAAAATCACTAGATTCCCCTATTAACAGTCACCGTGTTGGAAGGAGAATGCCTTCCGTGGAGAACACAACGCTTACTGCTGGTAGCTATAGCTGCTGGCAGTAATCGAATGTAAAAAAATTAGTCAGGCTGGTTGTACTGAAGTCCATCAATGGATTGACTTCTGAAGTACAACCAGCCTGCCCAAACATGGATCGAATCTCAGCCAATCCCTGCTGAATCAGCCAAGATTCCATCCATATATGGCCAGCTTAACAACCGTTGTCTTTCATGCACATTGTTTACCTGAGCTTTTGTTCAAAAAGAAAAACGGCTACTACAACTGGTCAGCAGCCCCTGGCAGTGTTATTGGTTTCCCTGGTCTCTGTCACTCTTGCTAGTCAACTTAGTCTGAATGCTGACAATTTAAAATCCGTGAAATAACAATAATATTTATATCAATTCCTTATTTTAGGTAAAGTGTCTGTATACAGTTATGAAGATACAATATTTTTCATGATCGTTGTCTTTTAGTAACAGAACACATAGGAATACTTAAAGCGGAGTTCCACTCACCCTGTCAAAAAATAAGTCAGCAGCTACAAAAACTGTAGCTGCTGACTTTTAAAAAACAGCCACTTGTCCTTCGGTCCCGTGGTGTGTCCCCCGCAGCCCTTTTCACCAGCCGTCCTGTTTTCAAGGAGGCCAGCATCTTCAGTGTGGGCACCCGGCTGTGATAGCTTGCGGCTTCACATAGTCAGGTACCCACTGCACATGCGCAAGTAGCGCTGCGCTTTGTGAATGGTCCTGTAGTCTTATGGGACCTGTCACGTGTGCCAAAAGACTACAGGGAGGGAGGACACCTTCCAATTACCTAGGCGGACCGGAAGTGGGAGCGGGTACCTGTCAAATTTGGGTACCCGCTCCCCCCCACCCCACCCAATCCTTAATGGGGAGCGGGGGAGCAGTTCTTAAAGCGGAACTTCCCCTTTTGGGTGGAGCTCCGCTTTAAGAGGTGAGACCATACTCTCAACTGTTTTAATGTGAACATTGAGGTTATTTCAAATGCCCATTGTTGACTAGTTCTGCCCAATCCATATATTGGCAAAGAAGCTTCACCAATGTGGATGAGAGCTATAAAGGTTACCTAATTCTGCTTTCTCTTCCTGAAAATGCTAAATGCCTAGATGTCATGCTGACGCTCTGATCTCAATATTTTAATCAATGACCCAGGATAAAAATGCAGCAAGTGAAGTTGGCTTTAAAGCGGTAGTAAATACCTTCTAAAACCTGTATCTACACGTAAGCCTATAATAGGGCTTATCTGAAGGTACAGTGAATATCAGTGAATATCTCCCTACATTTTTACCATTTAGGAGATATTCGCAGTTATAGCAGCCAGTGACGTCAACCGCCCTGTGCACTGACGTATCCAAAGTGCTGTGCCGAGACTTCCATGTGCAGGAGTGATGTCATCACACCCCAGCCAAACGGTTGAAGCAGCTTAGGAAGACTGGGTGAAGATGGAAGCCCTGTTAGAGACAGGGTAAGTCTGTCATAATGTGCTAGCATGCACCACATACTAGCACATTATGACATTAACCTGCAGGGAGACTTTTTTTTTTTTTTTTTTTTTTTTTTTTTTTTTTTTTAATAAAGAGTTTACTACTGCTTTTTATACATTCTGAATCACTGATCCAAGAATACAGGTCTGGTGTAACTATAGTTGCTACATGCTTATGGCTGGATCAATGACTTTTGAAGTAAGAGGGGGTCAGTGCGATGACCAGGAAACTAGAATTGTTTGGAGGATGTCAGCGATGTCAATATTCCTGTTTCTGATAATAAATAGTAGACTATTTTGAATCCAATAAGGACATTATTTTGACGTGAATGTCGATGATTACCACAAATAATTGATAAAGGGTTGAGCATTGAATTACCAGTTACTTTACATGTCCTATGATTGCATTATTTCATGGATGCATTTCTTTTCTGACCAGGAGAAAAACCATTTGAATGTCCAAACTGTCATGAGCATTTTGCCAGGAACAGTACTCTTAAATGTCACTTATCGGCATGCCAGTATGGAGTTGGAGCTAAGAAGGGAAGGAAGAAGCTGTATGAATGTCAGGTGAGTTTTCACTGCACTAATAACTGCAAATGGCTCCAGCTTTCCAGCGTTCCTTTAAAGAGGGACTGTCCCATTTGAGGACATCTTCTAGTGCATCATGTCTCTTATGCAGCAGGGAATAAGTATAAGTGATGTAAGGGGAAGAAGTAGAGATGTGGAACCCATTTAAAGCTAAAGTTTAATTGGCTTATATGTTGCCTTCTCTGGTTCTGCAAGTTCTACAAGGAACAAGTGGCGGTGTATATATATACTGGGTTTTCTTATTTTATTTTTATTAGTAATGGTGGTGATCAGCGACTTATAGCGGGACTGTGGGGGCATTCTGACTTTGGGGGAAACTGACGGTGTCACTGACATACTCAGTGACACAAATATAGTGATCCGTGCTAAAAAAAAAAAAAAAAAAGCATTGACACTGTACTAATGGCACTGGGCAGGAAGGGGTTAATATCAAAGGGTTAACTCTGTGCAGGGAGTGTTTTACTGGGGAGCGGTGTCTGTGTGCTTCACTGTAAGCACACTGCTCTGGATGGATGGCTGTGCTGTGCACAGCCATCCAAAGCAGTGTGCACGTGGTGACAGGGGGAGAACTGTTAGTAAACAAAACAGTTCTCCTCCCCATTGGAGATCTTCAGAAATCACCGCCGCCGGCGAGTAATTACCGTCCGCGACCCGGTGATTGATAGCTGTGTGGCCGCAAATGGCGGCGTGGCCTCGACCTGGAAATGCAAAAACACGTATATACAGGTGTACCTCGGTTTACAAACGCCTCCGTTAAGATAATTTTCAGTTTACAAATGAAAATACATTGAAAAAAATGCCTCGGTTTACAAATTTTTTTGACAAATTTTTTTCGCAATACGAAGTGTATGTCGGTGACGATTTTTAAATGCAGTTGCCTGATTTTTTTTTTTTTTTTTTTTTTTTTTTTTGCTATTACTGTTTAAAGGGGGCTTCCAATTCCGATAAGCCCCCTGCCTGCAGACCCCCAAAACCACTGGGCAGGTGCTTTATGGGGGGGGGGGGGGGGAGAGAGCCCAAAAGCACCCCCGCATGTTGAGGACATGTGGCCTGGTATGGTTCGGGAGGGGGGGGGGGGGGGTGGGGGGAAGGTGCTCGTTCACCCTTTCATGACCTGCTGGGCTGCATGCTCAGACAAAAGTCTGGTATGGATTTTGGGGGGGACCCCCACGCCAATTTTTTTTTTTTTTTTTTTTTTTTTTTTTTTTTTTTTTTTTTTTGGCGTGGGAGTTCCCCGCAAAATCCATACCAGACCCAAAGGGCTTGGTATGGATGGGAGGGGGGACTCCGCCAGTTTTTTTTGTATTTTTAATTTCCAGCAATTCTTTTACATTCAGCTGTCAGTGGGGAACCCCGCTGACAGCTGAAACATTAACACATGGCTGTCACTACTAAAATACCGCTTGACTTGATAAAATAACTCATGCTGTATTTTAGTGGCGTTTACTTTTTTTCTGACCTCAGGAACGGATTAATTGATTTTCAATTCATTCCTCTGGGAAACGGCGTTTCAATTTATGAATTTTTTGCTATATGAAAAATCCCGCAGAATGAATTAAATCCGAAGTATGCCTGTATACGTAATTTTGTGCATCCCTCCCTGTAGCGGTATTTCAGCTATAGGGCAGTCGGGAAGCAGTTAAGTCTGAGGTGCTTTTAGGAATGTCTAGGGCTTTTAAAAAACAAAAGTGGCTTTGATGATTTATATGTTTAATATTTTTAACATTGCGCTGTTTATCCCCTCCTCCCCTCGCTGCCTATTTCCAGCACCAAACCCGGGAACCAGCAGAGAGGGGAGAGACCTTGTAGTGTAATGAGCACCAATTGGCTATTTGTCAGGCTTATCTGTTATCCCTTTCACTGCCAGAGCCATTTTTGCATTTTTTTTTTGCACAAGTTTAAAAAATTGTTTTAGGCTTGAAGATTACACAAAACCCCCAAAAATTAAGAGAATAAAATTGTGGTAGCTCCAGTTTTATATGTTGCACAATATTACTGATTATTACCACAACATTTCAGTAAAAAATCCGCTTATTAATTTCAGGGCACAAAAAAAAGCAATAAACGACTCCTTTTATATTTTACAAAAAAAAAAAAAGATGAGGTTGCACTGAGTAAATGGATATCCAATATGCCAATCCTTTAATTTGCGCTCGCTCGTGAAAAGGCTACAAACTTCAGTGTCCTAAAGGCGACACTTTTAAAGCCCTTTATAAGTCATCAGTATAGTGTTACGGAAGAGGTCTGGTTATCAAATTATTGCTCTCATTTTGGCGTGCGTGGTGATATGTAACGTGTATTGCAATCGACGGTTTCATGCGTAGGCATCCCAGAGTGTGCTTTTACGTTTATATGTGGGGGTGGGGCCACAAATTTTTTTTTTTTTTTAGGGGATGTTATGTGCTTGGCTGTGACTTAATTTTTTTACTTTTTTTTTTTTTTTTTTTTTTACTTTTTTTTTTTTTTTTTTTTTTTTTTTAATTTTCATCGCAACAGAAGTCCTCTATGTGGTGATTTTTGGTGACTGGTTCTCTTTATTGAGACATCCAAGGTCTAAAAGACCTTGCAAGAAAATATAAATTCAACACTCCTGGTGTCAGAATGACAGTGTAAATGGTAATGACTTGGAGAGGCTCAGTGTTGCTGAAAATGAGAGGATGAGTATGACAAATGCATTTGGCAGTGCTCAAGGGGAGCCACAAGTTGTGTCAAGTACCTTCTGAGGTGGAGGTTTCTTTAAATGGCTCTGCCTCTTTAGCCTTAACGAATGAGCCCTTCCGTCTCTAGTAATGGAAGAGTTCCTGAAGTTCTGTTTTAGATGTGGGGTGTATTGAAATCACTGAGATGTTGGAATTGGTGAAAACCCCTTTTGCTGTACACCTGTGTATCCACCGCAGATGGTCGACCTGCTACTGCAAAGCATCGGTAAGTGGGGACAGGTGGTACAGGGGATGTTAAGCAATGTTGGTCAAAATTGGTAAAGGTTACTGTCTTGCTGGTTACTTGTATGGAGAATGGTTTCACGGTTGTCTTTGAAAGTGCTTTCAGTGGTGGTTTTGTGCGGAAAGCGCTCAGGGGAGCTGCTAGAATTATCAAGTGACAGATATGTTAGAAGTCTCTCTGTCTGATGGGGTGCATTACTTTTGTTGCGGCCCAAGGTGCGGCTGAGCAGTGGTTGGTACATGGTGCTTGTACTGTCTCACCCGTTAGACCTCCTGAGAAGGAAGGGCCCAGAACGAACACGGCAGGAGTAGGAATTCTGTCCGTCACCCGCAAAGAGGTGCAGATTAAGGCACCCGGAGACACTGACAGGAATTAATAATCCTGTTGGTAACAGGGAAGCAGATAAACCCATGTTGAAAGTTGTCTCCCAGTGACTATGATCTTGGCTATGAGAGGCACGCTGGAGCACTGTTGGACAGGTCAGAGGTATTGTAAGTACCAGAGGACACAGGGTTAAAGAGACTAGTGTATGAAAATGTGTTGAGAAAGGTCAGTGTGTAGAACAGTCTATTGTTGGACAACGGGGCAAAACTTTGGGAAGGTCCCATAGGGGGGATAATCGCTGGCCTGTATGTGGTCCCTCCTCCGATACTGTCCTAGCAAACAATGGGACAAGAGTTCCGCATGATTGTGACCATCATGAGCTGAGTAATCCATTGTGGAATATTGCTGTTGATGATAAACAAAAGAATGTGTTCATCTCAGATGATTTGGTTGCCAATGGTAACCACACAGGGGTTAACAAACCTGAAAAAATAGATGGTGCTGGATAAGATTGAATCAGGTAGTGAGAGAGCTTGGTCCCTGACAGTCGTCATAGAAGTAGGCCCCCTACAGTCCTGGGAGAGTAGGTCTGTAGGAGGTAAAAAGAAACACAGGAACTCAAGGCCAAAAGGAAGAAGGGGTGGTAAAGAGAGCAGTGGGACTCCATAGTGCAAGAAGTGCTTGTGGAAGCACACCTGGGAAAAAAAGATGTGGGCAGAGTTCCCCTTTATAAACAGTCAGGCTAGGTCTCTGCCAGAGTGAAGCATTTGTGGAAACCTACCCAGAAAAAGAGTTGGGCCTACGCAGCTATCAGCTGGCACAGAGATGTTCCAACCACAGCGACGAGTTCATGTGTGCCTCCCTCTGGTTTGAAACAAGGGGAGATATGACAGGACAAGACTCTGTCACAGTGAGAAGATAGGAAAATGTGAGTGAATGCGACATTCCAGACTGTTTCTGAGCAGAGAAAGCTGTGGAATGGGCTGGGTTTTCCAGCCCTGGCTCAGAACATTCACCCCTTAGTCTGGGTTTTGCTAGACAACTGCAATCTGGAGTACAGCGATGTGAGGTGTCATTATATATAGGTTTGGGTTTGAGAAGAGCTCAGGGCTCCCAATTGGAGACCACTCCCAGTGAGGGAGACAGAAGGTCTCATTGAAGGGTCAGAGGACCCAGCCAAGAGATAGGGGTCTCCATTCAGTCAGGTCGACTCCTATCAGGGTGTCAGAAGAAAACCCCCCCACCCCCCCCCCCCCCCCCTCCTCCTCCATAGGCCATCCTTACAGCAGGGTGCTGTGTCTAAAGGCTAGAGGGCCAGGTATCCAGGAGAGGTACTGCAAGCGAAGCTGGATGAGCTTATGAGCCAGGTGGCTTGGCATTTTCCATTGTATTTATGGATTTCTCTTGAGGTTGGAGAAGATCCCCTGCATGGGAAACCATTTGTTTGTGAACCTCTAATTTCTTTTAAATAAAAGTGGGCTACCAAGCTCCTAAAAATAAAGTGTGTGTGTGTGTGTGTGTGTGTGTGTGTGTGTGTCCCTCCCTCTCTCCCCTCTCCCTCTCTCTCTCTCTCCCTCTCCCCTCCCCTCCCCCCTCTCTCCCTCTCTCCCTCTCCTCTCTCAATCCCCTCTCTCTCCCCCCTCTCCCCCCCCTCTCTCATCCCCCCCTCTCCCCCTCTCCCCCCCTCCCCCCCCCCTCCCCCCCCCCCTCCCCCCTCCCCCCCTCCCCCTCTCTCTCTCTCTCTCTCTCTCTCTCTCTCTCTCTCTCTCTCTCTCTCTCTCTCTCTCTCTCTCTCTCTCTCTCTCTCTCTCTCTCTCTCTCTCTCTCTCTCTCTCTCTCTCTCTCTCTCTCTCTCTCTCATATATCTATCTCGAGATAGATATATATAGAGATATAATCTCTCTAGATAGAGAGAGAGAGATATCTCTCTATATATAGAGCGCTCTCTCTCTCGATCTCTCTCGATATAGATATATATAGATATCTCTCTCGATCTCGATATATAGATCTCTCTCATATATCTCGATCTCGATATATAGATCTCTCTCTCTCTCTCGATCTCGATATATAGATCTCTCTCTCTCTCGATCTCGATATATAGATCTCTCTCTCTCGATCTCGATATATAGATCTCTCTCTCTCGATCTCTCTCGATCTCGATCTCTCTCTATCTCTCTCTCGATCTCTCTCTCTCGATCTCGATATATCTCTCTCTCGATCTCTCTCTCTCTCGATCTCTCTCTCGATCGATCTCTCTCTCTCGATCTCTCTCGATATAGATATATAGATCTCTCTCGATATAGATATATAGATCTCTCTCGATATAGATATATAGATCTCTCTCGATATAGATATATAGATCTCTCTCGATATAGATATATAGATCTCTCTCGATATAGATATATAGATCTCTCTCTCTCTCTCTCCACCCTGCACAATAAGAGAAGTTCCCCTTTTGACAAAAAGTAATAAATGCCCATTTGTTTTGCAGATACAGTGCATTAAATCAGTAGATAGCTTGTGCCATGCACGACTCCTGCAGACAAGTTGGTACATCTGCTTGCCCTATACGAGCAAGCCGATATACTCAGGAAGACAGGACGAAGGCATTAACTACCACAGCACCGTGGTAGTTAAAGCCAATAGCTGCTAAGGATGTCGGGACTTGTAGTTTTCTCATTCACAGAATACTGTGAATGAGTGACACAGGCACACATGGTGGTGGTTTTTTTTTTTTTTTTTTTTTTTTTTTTTCATTTTGGCAACTAGCGGGAGAAGAAGAACCCTGGCTAGCTGTCAAAGCGGGGGGCCAGTCCATTCTTTATATGTTACACCCTGGAGAGACCTGGGACAGCCGAGGCTCTTGTGCACATTGCTGGATTGAGATCAGGCTCGGGTAAGATTTTTGAGTAGGGGGGGGGGCTGCACACAGAAGGTTTTTTACCTTCATGCATAGATTGCATGACTGTAAAAAAAAAAAACCTTGAGCCTTTACAACTACTATTAGACAAAATGTAAATCTTTCAGGGTTTTGCTTAGGCACAATCAACATTTCAAAACGTTCCCTGTAACATAACAGATCTTCACATTCTGAGTTCAAGATTTCTTCAAATTTATATGGTGATTTTTGGTGCAAATGAATTTCTTAACAAATATTTGCTTGTTTTCAGGTTTGCAACAGCGTCTTCAATTGCTGGGACCAGTTTAAAGACCACCTGGTTCTTCATACAGGAGACAAGCCCAATCACTGTACACTGTGTGATTTGTGGTTTATGCAAGGCAGTGAGTTGAGGAAACACCTTCGGGAAATACACAACATCTCAGAAAGAATAGTGACAGAGGTCATGCTTCCTTCTGAATCGGGAGAAATGGAGACTGTGCCTTCAATGACCTTTGTGGAGCAGGTGGAACAAGTCCATGTGGTGCCAGTAGATCAAGTTATCCAAGTGCAAGTGGATCCTCCTCAGCTGACGGTAGGTCAGTTGCACCAAGATCTTCTGGAAGTGAATCAAGTGAAAGGCGCCCATATACTAGACTTACAGACCCAGGTACATATGGGTCACATAGAGGTGGAACATCTTCAGATAGACCCTGGTACGGAGGTTCATGTTGAGGAATTACATGTAAACCAGATACACATGGAGGAAGTTGAGGCTGAACTTCTGGATGAAACCAATATTCATCACATTGAACATGCTATCGAAGAACAGACCTGCCACACAGAGGAAGCAGAACTTCATCAAATTGTCCACACAGGAGCTGAAAACTTACAAATCAGGCAGATGGAGATAACACACATTGAAGCTGCTGCTGAGTAGAACATTGCACTGAGAAAACAGGGACAGGCAACAAGTGTTGAATAGGGTTGGCTTTGTTTCTTGATACTTGTTTTTGATTTAGAGAAGTGATATGTTTGGCAGACAGCCATCAGATACTCCCTAAGTTTTTATAAGCTGTAGACTTTCTGTAGAAAGTATGCGAGCCCCAAGAATTAAATTGCCTTGAGAGGAAATACTTTGGATTGAATAAACAACCAGATTCTACCTGTCAAGTTTACCATCCATGCCCCCTGACGGTACCTGCTTCTGATATGAACCTACTTAACAATTAGGACAGGATATTGTGTTCCAAAATCTGTGCCATAACCCAATTAATTACCTTTTTTCCTGCCCCAAGGAGTAGATTTGAGGTAATATCTGTCCATTTTGGGACAGCTCGCCCTTGGTTAAGACCAGAATATCTAAGAGCTTCCACTCCTGTATTGATACTTCATTTATGGCAGGAGCAAAGTTCTCTCCCAGCACATTTTGTGGTAAATATCTTTGTTGGATGTTGTTGAAGTACACCTGTTGCATATATACAGTTTCTCTGCAGAGGCCTGATACACCCCGCTTTTGAGTCATACCTGTAGCTGTGCAATCAGCAAAGCTCATGCTGATTGGAGAGTTGTAGCTCTGACTCAGTAAGAGTGTGTCTGACCTCTTCAAGGAGACCACTTTCCAGTAGTAAGGGTCCCACTCTGCAGCATGCTTTTCTACTAGGGTTGGGGCCGTACACATTTTTGTTTTGATGCACCTGGAATGTATTTAGCTGGTTTAAGCTGATGGTTCAGTTGGACTTTAATACAAGTCCTCAGTGGCCTCTGTAGCTGCAGGTACTGTGGAGTAGTTCATCCTCAAAGATCAAAAGTCTGGTTGCAGTCTTTTTTTTTTTTTTTTTTTTTTTTTTTTTTTTTTTACCACTTAGAAACCCCTTCTGTTGTATTATATTAGCAGGGCATTGGGTAGCAAAATCTCTGCTGCCAGAGAAAATAAAGAGAAAAGGTGCAGTGATTTTAATGCCTTTTTATTATGAGCTTTGGCCTGCAACTCGAGAAGTTGGTGAGGGCTTGTTTTAAAGCTTTTACTGCTTGTAAAAAATATGTAAATACTTTTAAGTGGTGTAAACCCAAAACCAAAAATTTTATATTTTGCAGTTTACAAATCCTTCGTTTTTTTGTTTTTAGGCTTTTCTCTGTTTTCACCTGGTGATCTGGCCAGTAACACACCTCCTGTATTAGAGTGCCCCCACTTGGGATGAAGGAGCACAGGAGTACCTTTTAGACAGCACTATTGTCATTCTGGGAAGAGGGGAGTGTTAATTGTACTATCAGATTTAGATACACTAACAAACTGAAGCCAAACTAACACTTTATAAGCAGTTACACAAACAGTTTTTTTTTTTTTGCCTTTTTGGGATAAAGGTTTTCAGTGGTAGATGGTTTATCTCATTCCTGTAACTGCTACATCTGTAGGACAGCTTGTTCTTTTGAAAAACAACAGACTTACTGGCTGGATTATTAGGTGAAAATGAGAGCCTAAAAAAGAAAATGAAAGTGTCCCTGCATTCACTATATCTGGTCTCCCACAGTACACACAACATGGAAATGAAATTATGTTAATAACTTTAAACCGCTAAATTTTCTCATCAGTAGTTAGAGCAGTCTTGTGACTTCTATCAGTGTCCAGCTGAGCACTGGTTAAAACTTGGAGGAGGAGCTTTCATTCTGCTCTGACTGGTGTATGAGGCTGCATGACCCCTGACCCTCTCTCTGGACAGTGCTGATTGGTCCTGTGCTGATCACATGCACCCTCCCAAAGAAACAAACAAAATCTCTAGCAATACACAAACAGATTGTCTCCTAGAGCTCTGTACTATGGGTAGATGCATTGGGGGCAGTAGAAGAAGGGGAGGATTAGAGAAGACAGGATCAAACAGACTGATTTTACTGTTTAACCACTTGCCTACTAGGCACTAATACCCCCCCTCCTGCCCAGGCCTGCACTTTGAATGACAATTGCGTGGTCATGCAACATTGTACCCATATGAAATTTTTATACTTTTTTTTCATACAAATAGAGCTTTCTTTTGGTGGTATTTAATCACCGCTGGATGTTCTATTTTTTGCACTATAAACAAAAGGGCAAAAAAATTTGAAGAAAAAATTTTTGTTTCTGTTATAAAATTTAGCAAACAGGTAATTGTTCTCCATCACTGATGTGCGTTGATGAGACAGCACTGATGGGCACTGATAGGCAGCACGGATGAGGCGTCACGGATAGGCGACATTGATAGGTGGCACCGATGGGCAGCACTGCAGCGCACAGGTGGGTGGCACTGATTGGTACAGGTGGGCGGTACTGCTGGGCACTGATCATCCGTGCCCTGATGATCAGTGCCGATCCCTTCATTGACAATTGCCGGTTGTCGGCCGTACTTTCCTCACGCTGTGACAGCTTGAGGAAAAAACCGGCAACTCTATTTACCCGGTGATCTGGTGTGTCATAGGCGGTGCCGGGTGCACGCTGCTGGGGGTGCGCAGGGGGACATGTTCTGGAATAACGTCCATGGACGTCAACCCAGAACTAGACAACCATGCTGTAGCTGTCCATCGGCTATAGTGTGGTTGAGAACTGGTTAAAGTGTTACTAAACCCACAACAGTAAAATCAGTCTGTATATGCAGTAAAGCATGCTTGTTATACTCACTGTGGAACTAAAGTAGTTAATCCTCTGCATTGTGTAAAAACGCTGTTTGATCATGACTTCTTTGATCCTCCCCTTCTGCCAGTGTCCCCCTCTTATCTCCTGATAAGACATATGGTGTGGAGTTACTCTGCATATGCTCAGTTTGGTGTGTATTGCTGGAGAGGGTTTTTTTTATTTCTTGGGAGAGTGCATGTGATTAGCACAAGGTCAATCAGCACTGTCCAGACAGAGGTCAGGGGTTCTGCATCCTCCTAGAGCAGAATGAAAACTCCTTCTACAAGCTTTAACATGTGCTCGGCTGGACATGGATAGAAGTCACAAGACTGCTGTACACTACTGAGAGAAGGTATTTAGCAGTTTATATTTACTAAAATGATTGCATTTCCGTGTTGTGTGTACTGTAGGAGACCAGATATAGTGACTGCAGGGTCCTGGGAGACCAGATGTAGTGACTGCAGGGTCCGGGGAGACCGGATGTAGTGACTGCAGGGTCCGGGGAGACCGGATGTGTAGTGACTGCAGGGTCCGGGGAGACCGGATGTAGTGACTGCAGGGTCCGGGGAGACCGGATGTAGTGACTGCAGGGTCCGGGGAGGGAGACCGGATGTAGTGACTGCAGGGTCCGGGGAGACCGGATGTAGTGACTGCAGGGTCCGGGGAGACCGGATGTAGTGACTGCAGGGTCCGGGGAGACCGGATGTAGTGACTGCAGGGTCCGGGGAGACCGGATGTAGTGACTGCAGGGTCTGCGGTCCGGGGAGAGAGCGGATGTAGTGACTGCAGGGTTCGGGGAGACCAGATATAGTGAATGCAGGGTCCGGGGGAAAGCAGATATAGTGAATGCAGGGTCTGGGGTTTAGTAACACTTTTTATGCAGCCATCACACCTAAGAATTGGTAAACTGCAATATAACAAACGTTTGCTTTTGCATTTAATACACGTTTTCATAGGAAGCACCTACTTTATTTACAAATTTAGGGTTTGTTTATGGTGGAAATTTCTTTCTCAGGATTTTCTAAGGCAGATGTTAGAGAATTCATTGAAAATGGTCTTTTCAGGCACTTCTTCATGGATGCTCCTATTTTCTTCCCCGTGAATATCTCTGAAGATGTGTTTGGACAGGACTTCTTGTATTTTCTGCTTTTTCCAGCCAGCAGTTGGGGAATAGCTCTCACGTGGTGCTGTCATGTGACATTTATGGAAAAGTGATGACCAAGAAATGTCATTTTTAATCTCCTAGTGAATGTTAGAAGATGATTGGTTGCTCTGGACAGCAGAAGCTTTCCTCAAGCGTTTTCTGCAACAGCCAATATCTCTTCCTTCTTTACTACAATTTATTGACTAAAATATGTAAAAACTTGTAATAAAGAACACCATCCAAGCTGGAGAGAGGTGGTGATGGGTGAAGCAGACCACACAATGAAGATCACTATTTGGATGGCCTCATTTTCTGAGGTGTAAAACAGTAAAAACAATAGCTATTCAGTTCTCATTGTGCCATGTAAGCATTCCAGGAACTGCAATTTAGGAAAATCAATGGCTTGCCTGCTGTATTTTTTTTTTTTTTTTCTCTTGTATATCTAATAATAATGCAGTGGCTCATAGCAAAAGAAACAAAAGCACAGCCTAATCTCTACTCCGTGTTTTATTCCTTCACTCACTGTTTTTGTTTGATTTTTCATTATTCCTGTCACAATTCCTGTC